AATAACCTCGGATATCATTTGGGTAAGTTGCATCGTATTTAATTGTCAGATCATACACATACTAACTTGTTTGCTTTTTTAGGAAGTCTTGTGGTCACGTCGGCAACAGGACGGGGCATACCTGTAATCGACTTTCTTGCGCTAGACCAAAAAGCACAAACAATGGACCGTATCGTTGAAATCATCAAAATGAAGAACATGTCCTGGAATTTAATCCAGACTATCGTCATCGACAAAGATTTCGTGGAGTGGTGGGTCCTGGAAAGAGCATTTCCCGGTACCAAGGTTATTCTGTGCCAATTCCACGCGCTTACGTACTGGAGAAAAGTGCTTCGTCGTCCCAAGTTTGACCTGACAATGTCATAGCGCAACAGGATGGAGGACGCGTTTGCAAAGCTATTCTACTGGTACGATTCTGTGTGTTGCTTCATGTGTTGATTATGAAATGTTGCCTAATATGTTGCTTTGTTGTGTTGCTAAATATGTTGTGCAAAATGTAGCAACACGCAGATAGCGTTCAATTCAGAGTTGGCAGCATTCACAAGAACGTGCGAGGAGAAGTGCCCTAAGCTACTTGCTTATTTTTGCGGAATTGGAAAACGTGCGATTCGATGTGGGCAAATTATCTCCGTGGGGCGTACTTTTCTGCAGGCAATACCGAATTGAGTCCAACTGAAATCAGGTGAAGCTCCTCTGTAAAAGGCCCCGTATTGATGCGACGATTGGAGGGCTTCTAGCTTACCAAACGACAGTTATTCGACAGCTACTTGCTTCAATTCGCAAGCACTCCGTGACCTCGCGGCAACCTGACTCTGTCCCAGACTTCCTTTTAGTTGTGGCAAAGCACCTGAGCGATGCTTCGCTTACAAAAGTGCGCACTCAGTGGGAGCACTTCATGGTATATCTGGCGGAAGCTACGTGCAAGAAAGAAAACGTGGAAGGGGGAGAGTGGATGTTGTCTACGCAGGGGCGCACATATCGCTGCAATGACTATCAGTGGACGTGTACATGCCTATTCTATCGAAGTAATCACCTCCCGTGTCAACACTTGATGTACATTGCTGACCGCGTTCACCGGTTCGAGTATCTCCCGGCATTGACGATTTCTTCACGCTGGGACATGCTGGAAATGGCGGCAATGGAAAAGGCGTTTCAAGCGGGTATCTATTCCCTCCAGGACGTTCAAATTTCGATGAAAGTAGCCAGCGATGCCTTCGACGCGGTCCAGCCGCAGGATTCTGCATCAACTTTATCAGCAACACAACCGAGTAGTGCAACACATGAAGCAACACACGAAGCAACACAAGTGAAAGGACTGCTAGGAAATACCAAAACGACAAGACTGCGCGTTAAATCGAAACGCCGAATCATCTACGTGAAGTTGCGTCGCCGCGAGCGAGCAAATGTTGCTGTTATGTCAACCGAGGAGAAGTACTCCTATGCAAAAGCAGTATTCGAGCCCGTGATGGAGCGTCTCTCAGGTCTGTCGAGTCCTGCTTTCTGCACAGCATTGCATGCCTGGAAGGAACTGGTTCAACGTGAGCTACGTGAAGGTGTTGGAGCTGGATCGGTATCAGATACAACGACTTTGCCGGAAGAGGACGACGAAACCGACAATTCCTATTTATCAGATGCCGCATCGGAAATTGAGCCCACAGAGCTTATTGATACTATGGATTTTATCCGGCAGATGAAATCGCCAAATTCACCTCAGACGGGGGATGGAGCCATACGCAAATTTACGATGACAAAAGGACCAGCACCGAGTGCGACACAAACATTGAAGGTCCAAGTAGCGTTACCGTCGGCCGACCACCAAACCGATACGCGTCTCGAAGCTCACAATGAGCCAACTAAAGCGGCTGCGCATGCACCCAGGAAGTGCAGTGAAGCGAAAGCCACCGCTAACTGCGGACTCGAAGTTCTTCGTATCCCTCACCCCAAGCCTCGACACAATAAGAGGAAGAAGCTGACACAGCGCAAATTAGTAAAGCACAAAAGGCCCCAGAAACTGGCTGCTATTGCGCTTCCGGACAAAAACATACCGTCACTTTCGCGACTATTGGAATGGGCGAACCACACGACTGACCCGTATCACGTGAGCGAGATACTCGGAAACTACCCTGTGATCATGGATGACGATTTCATGAGCGCCCGAACTCCTCGCAGCTGTCGTGAATTAGTTTGTACGGCTGACTATGACTACAATTTCGTGATTCCTCAGAACCTTGTCATTGAATTGAACGCTGTGGTTGCTGTCGAAAAGAAGAAACGTCAAGGATCAAAGTACTTCAATGAGCATCAAGATGTCGAACATCCGGAGGGGTCCACGAACGAAGTCTTAGCTTTCTTTCCTGGTGGTACCCCGCGCTTTACTAGGTTTGTGCTTTTCATGTGCTGTTTCATGTGCTGCGGGAGCTCTGTGTTGCTTGATGTGTTGCTCACGGGGTGTGTTGCTTTCTGTGTTGCTACTAGTGGTGGGGTCTTCAAAATGGTTGAGTACTTCAGTCTTGTCAAGAAGTTCAATTCATGGATGGCAGATGTGAAGTGGCTGTTATCGACAAAGTGGAAAAAGATCCTCGCACACCCGGTGATATTCGACGAGGAGACCGGAACTACTGCGCTAATGCCTGACGTTGTTCCAGTGAGACATCAACAACTGGCGGACGACATCGTGCGTGTGCTGGCTAGCGCTTGTCTAAGCTCAATCTTTCGGCTTGATTGTGGGGAGGGAACCGTCATGGTGGAGAAAATGGTTGGTATGATTGCCCGAGATCGTATGCTGAGTGATACGATTATCGACTTTGGAATTCGATGCATTTGCGAATCGATTGGTAGCTGCTATGCTTTGGACTCATTCGCACCGTCGTTGGGCTGTCCGAGGCCACCAGAAATCCCTATTGATAGCTGCAAGTACGTTGTGTTGCCTGTCCATTTGAGCAACATACACTGGGGTGTGATTATTGTCAGTATTTCATACCGGACGGCGATGGCGACAGTCACACCGTATTTCTACGAACCATTGTGCTCTACGTCATACAACGACACTCTTGAGCACACCTACGAGGCAGTAGTGGCCGAGTTTTTAAGAGTTTGGCACGATTCCACCATGCTGGGAGAGCCATATCCAATCGTTGAGAAGACCGTGTGGCTTTCCGGACCGAAGCAGCCCGACGGAACTTCTTGCGGTGTGCTAGTTCTCGCCCAAGTGTATACGATGCTTAAAAATAGCTCGCAATTTACCCGATGTGCTGTAAGCCATGACGACGTCACTATTATGCGTCTTCGCATTATGTGGATGATCTTAAGGCAACCCGAGGTAACCACGAGAAAAAACAAGGTAGCGAAGGCGGTCCAAGACACAGATCTGGAATTACTGGCGACAATTAAGACGTAGCATGTTGTGTTTTGGAAGCCAATTAATTGTAAACTTCTTACTCAATAACCCCTTTCTGGTCCTCAAATTCTCAATGCTGCGTGTGGCCTAACATTGAGCTGCAACACTCCTCCAGCGCAACCGAGTAAGACATGACGTACTTTGAGCTACGAATAGGAAACCCCGTCACGGCTGCAATGCGGGTGGTTTCCTCTTTTTTGAGTGAGATCAATGTAGCTAGCTCATCGTGCGCATTTAACAGCTTCGCTGTGTACTTGGCCAGCTTTTTAAGCTTCCCTTCCATTAGTTTAATCTGCTGAAGCCGGGACTGAAGCAGCTTTTGGCAAAGCTTGGCCTGGTGAGTTTGAAGAGTCTCCGCTTCACCGCGGCGAGCTGCAGTTAGCTCTAGATACCCCGAAGGCGCTGGGTGACTAGCAATAGCGCTCTTAAGAAGGCTGGCGTGGCTGATGTCGTCTGCGCTCATACTTGTCTCCTTTAAAACGGCCGACTGCGAGCTACTAAGAAATTCACAATAGGGGGCCAGAAACTTTTACGGTTCCCGTCATTTACCTCTTTTAAATTACGAGCGTATTTTGTTTAGCAAATGCTGTTCTCTGTGGCTCTCCTTGTGTCGATGTGGTCTGTTGCGTTGCTATAAGAGCTGTTGTCTTGTCGTTGACGAGTTGCAGTAACGCCGTCCGTCCAATACCGCTTGTCGGTGCGGCACGGTAGGCACGGCGTGCCTACCGTACAAGTACAAGATAAAGCTGACACTGTCAGCCTGACAGTGACCCATCGTTGTACGATTCGTACTGTACGCTGTTGTGTCGAATCCCATCGACGCAAATACTTGAAATTCAACCGATTGCTCCAGTGACCGGTGTACATGTAGACTCCATTTAAAGGTAATGTTACCGGATCTTCCTCGTGTCTTAGCATCCTACCAACTTGGTACATACTGTACTGGTAAATTGGTGACCATTTGAACTTCAAATGGTCGGTGGTCCACCTCTGCTGATCTACAAGAGCTGCCTCAAAGAATCCTTAGATGGCGCGATGGTCGCGACGGTCGCGGCGACCTGTGTTACACGGGCTGTGTCGTAAGATTCACGCAGTACAGTATCATGCAAGAGGTGGATATGAAGATGGTAATTTTTCTAAAAGAAGAAAAGAAGAAGCCTTCTCCACGACACGAATCGTGATTCGCGACGACGACAGCGTCTTTGCGTCAAGTGACGGTGGAAGAAGGGCCAGGCAATTCACCGATTTCACCACCTTCGCGCAAATCTTGAACGCTGCCCGACCTCAAGTCTTGCTCGAAGCAAAACAAAAAAAGGAACTGAAAACTCAACATGAAAGGTACAGCACATGCATGTGTCGTCGAGACTCCCGTCCGGCTTGCTTGCGTTCGATCGTTGGGTAACGCGGATATATCGGATAATACCGGTGTACCTGGTACGACAATTCGCCTGAAACCAAGCAACAGACCACAGTACTTCATGACCGGTGAACGACGCTTTCGTTCTTCTACAGTAAGCCGTTTGGGTTAATCTTTTTGCCGTTTAGGTTGATATGAGTCAATCCATTCGACGGTATTTGTCTAACGTAGCAGTCATCCAGCTGCTGGTGGGTGGTGCTTCAAAATCACAGGCGAGGTTCCAGCGTCTTCAATGAGTGCAGGTTCTTGTCTTCTTCGGCAAACTCCAGACGCTTCTGAGCTTTCATCAGCATCCGCATCTCACGTTGGTTGTCCTCGTCTATCTTGAGCCCCTTGTCGATCGGTTTGAACGCGTCCTTTTCATCCAGATTCAGTACCGTAAAGTAGCTATTATGTAGCAGAAAAACACACCAAGGGAAAGTGAGGACACAATTGCAACCCCTCACTAAGAAAAAAATGACGTACCCGCTGTGGGACTTGCGTTCGCCACCGTCTACAACCGACTGAATAAACACCTCAACCTCAACCTCGAGACGATAACGACTGTAGTTGAAGTACATCCCAATCACAAAATATTGTAAGCATATGATGGTAATTCAAACACTTGTTTATCGGCTGCTGGTAACTCACCGAACGTTGACGACACGGGCGCGTGCAGTGACGATATCCGAGATCGAGATCGGTAGCTTGAACAGCACACGGTTCATAGCAATAGTCACCATTTTCTCGGACTTCGTAAAGTTCTCAGCACAGTACAAGGCGGCTCGGTCCTGAAGCACCAAGGATTTATCAACGTAAGCCTTCCCATGTTACCATATCACAAGAAAATAGACGCCAAGCATACCATCCAAGCGAGTAAATCTCCACCGAAGACCGTCTCATTGATGTTGAGGTTACGCGGCAAGAACCAATTGCGCACTTCGATCTCCGTCTCGCTCACGGAGACGTACTCTTGCTTGGTCTCTCCGGGCAGCAGGTCGTTGCTCTGTATGAAGGGAATGTTATCCACCGCTTCTTGTTCTTTTTGCCATCGCTTTGCGAGCTTCTTGCGTTGATTAGCCAGCTCCCTCATCTTGAGACAGTAGTCGGCTTGGTCGGCATCAAAGAGCTGCGGGAGCCCCTTCCTAGGTCGCCCGAAGCGATTAATGGCCACCATCGTGATAATAGCGTCGTGTGTGTGCTGGAACGTGCCAGTGGGAACATCATGGCGATAGCCACTAACCTGTACAGCCATGGACGAGTTGCTGAGACCGATAACTTCGCCCTCTACGCGCACCAAGTCGCCGTGAAACACGGGCTTGACCAAGTCCACACGGTCGAACGAGATAGTGGCAGTAGGTCCTAGTGATACCCGCGATGAGACGGTCCCAGCCAGCACGTCCATCAACTCCAGGATGGGACCGGTACGCAGCCAGCGACCCTTTTGGCTGTCCTCACCCTAGAACACATCAGAGTTAGTGTCAAATTGCAATCATATATTGATAATTCTATACGTACAATAATGTCAGTAAATGCTAGTCGCGTATCCTTAGCGCGCACTTGAGCGGGCATGCGGCGCATACGCCATATATCCTGTGCCGTGCCCATGAGCTTCTTGAGCAGCACCATCCTTCCACTTACCAACTCAATGGACAGAATCGGTTTCTAACATAATTGGCACTTCAAAATATCTGCAATTTCTAAAAAACTGGGTTGAACTGACAATCACTCTTCGAATTCCGCACTCGCAGCCATGGCCTCGACATCGGCGCTGCACGTACTGGACCGGCGCGACGTACAGCGTATATGCAGTGGACAATCGGTGGTAGACCTTGCGACGGCTGTGAAGGAGCTAGTGGAGAATGCACTGGACGCTGGCGCGACGCAGATCGAAGTGAAGCTAAAGGAGTTTGGGCGCGACGCCTTCGAGGTGAGTGACAATGGTGCCGGCGTCGCTCCCGAAAACTACGCTTCACTTGCGCGCAAACACTACACCAGCAAGATTAGCAGCTTTGAGGACATCGAGACCGTTGCATCCTTCGGCTTCCGGTGCGGCACTTGGTAGCGGTAGAGAGGATTGTTATTCATTACGTGAAAAAACTTATCATTTTTCTTTCCAGCGGTGAAGCGCTGAGCTCAATATGCGAGCTCGCTGCCAGCTTTACAGTGTGTACAAGGACGCAGAACGATGCGGTGGGAACGTTGCTGATGTACGACGCGAGCGGGGCGCTCGTGAAAGAGACCAAGAAAGCAAGGCCCACGGGGACCACCGTGGCGGTAGAAGAGCTCTTTAAGGTACAGACTGAAGCTCGGCTGGTGAAAAGGATCCTTACAAATGTTTGTAATGTGCTTCATTGTAGCCATTGGCTGTCCGATACAAGGACTTTAAGCGAAACATCAAGAAGCATTATGCCAAGTTGCTTAAGGTGCTGCAGGCGTACGCTGTGAGCTGTGCCAATGTCAAGATCTGTGTGTTCAATATAACAGGAAAGAACTCCAGTCGTCATGTCGTGCTGGCTACTCAGGCGCATCAGACGATGGGAGAGAACATTGCCAATGTGTTCGGTACCAAGTTTTTTAGGACACTAATACGCGTGGACTATGAGCTGAAGAACAATGTGAAGAAAGAGAAAGGTGGTACAAGTGATGAGGGTGACAGTGATGGTGAACAAAAGAGTTCTACTACGGAAACTGAAGATAATCTAAGTGGACAAGAGCGCAAGGTGGAGGGATACGTCTCTAAAGTCGGCGCAGGTGTCGGCCGAAGTGACAACGACCGGCAGTTCTTCTTCATTAATGGCCGCCCGTTTGATCTACCAAAGGTTTGTAGGATGAATGATCAACCGAGCTATGGAAGTGTGTTTTACTGACGTGCGATGCTTTTGTTCTGCTAGATGGCGAAGACACTGAACGAAGTTTGGAGGCAATACGAAATGAAGCAAAAGCCAGCATGCATCCTTAACTTTCTGCTGCCTCTGGGAGACTACGACGTGAACGTTACTCCAGACAAGCGAGAGACGTTTGTGAAGCATGTAAGTTCTGCATCCTGAGACCCTGGCAGGAGTAGACATCTCACCACTACGTGTGATGACTTGCAGGAAGCAGAGATTATTGATGCATTTAAGACGGGAATAAACAAGCTTTACGAACCAAGTCGAGGAACGTTTACAGTTCAGCCATTGCTGACAGCGTTTGCTCGTGCAAGTAAGACAGAAGAGCGTGCCAAGGAGGTTACTTCGACAACATCAGAAAATGAAATTCCCAAGCAACCAGAGCGCTTCCCTGCCGTGGAAAGCTGTAATGAGGATGATGTGCCAACGAATTCCGTCGTGCAAAGTGAACAATTGCAAGATGATAAGGTAACTACAGAAGCTGAGGAGCAGAAACCAAAGCCTGTTATCGTCGAAATACTCCAACCAAGGAATCAACGGGGTGAGAGCTCAGATCATGTCGGTGATAAAGCGAAAGATAAACCCAAAGCGGCCGTAGAACCGAAGCTACCCGCGCCATCGAAGACAGGTGCCGCATCTGCGCCATCGTCTCCTGAACAGATCCTGTTGGACTTGCGAAAGTCTGCAAAAAGACAGAAGCTTTATTCTCCTTTGCCGTCACAAGCAATACTTTCAACACCTGAAGAGCATGCGTGGTCATTTGACGAAATGATCAAGCAGCGACAACAATATTTTGAGGAAGAGGTGGAGTATGAGCGGAAACGGAAGACTAACCGCCTCAAGGTTCCGAAGACGTGCTCGACTTCTGTGGATGACAACGCGCTTGAAACAGACAATGAAGTTGCTGCAGCAGCATTGCAGCGCGTGCTCAAGAAAGAGGACTTTAAGCGCATGCAAGTTCTTGGCCAGTTCAACCTCGGCTTTATTATTGGGAAGCTGGGCAATGACCTGTTCATTATCGATCAGCACGCCAGCGACGAAAAATTCAACTACGAAACGCTTCAGCAGACTACAGTCATGCACCAGCAACCTCTGGTCCGTCCGCTAAGGCTAGAACTGACAGCTGGAGAAGAAATGGTTATCTTAGATCACTTGGGAGTGTTTACGAAGAATGGCTTCACCTTCCTGGTCGACAAGGATGCTCCGGCTACAAAGAAGCTAAAGCTGCTATCGCTGCCTTTCACGAAGCACACGCAGTTCGGTACTGAAGGTATTGCGCTAACTGTTTTATGACCCGGCCGAAGTAGGATTGGCTTATTGTAATTCTATGCTACAGATATTCGAGAGCTGGCGTCGCTCCTCATGGATGCGCCTATGAATACCTCAACTATCCGCCTGCCAAAAGTGATGGCGATGTTTGCGTCCCGAGCGTGCAGAAGCTCCATCATGATTGGAACTGCTCTTCACAAAGAGGAAATGCAGAAGGTAGGGAGGCCATAGTTTGTAATACTCACAGACCGTCGTTGACGCAGTACGATCGTGCCATTTTTTGCTGCTTCAGATTGTTCGAAACCTCTCTGGACTGGACCAGCCGTGGAATTGTCCGCATGGGTACGCTATGCATTGTCTACTGTAGACATACAACCCGTGGTGTCTAACGTGCGCTCTGAATTCGTACAGGCGACCGACTCTCCGTCACTTGGTTGATCTCATGCATCTCGAAGACAGCAATGACAGCAATTAAATTCGTGTAGTCAAGCGCATAAGCCTAAGGTTCGTCCTGCAAGCCGCTTTAATGTAACTACTTCGAACTATGTGAATAATTATCCACCGGTAGTTTCTAGGTGTTGTCCCAGGAGTACAGGAGTGGCATTGGTGCTGGAGCCTGGAGGTGACAATTGCTTGCGGTACTTTTCACATAGTTCGTTGTAGGCGTCGACGAGGACTGGATCGTTTGCGTCCCCCTGGTAGTTCGCGTTCACAAACTCGGTCCACTGGCGAATATCATTTTCTTCGGGGGAGTGTGTGAAACAGCCACCCTCACACTGACACTCTCCGCCGTATTCTTTTGGTAGGTTTTCTGGTGCGACGAACTCGAGCAGTGCTTTGGTGATGTCCTTGTGTCCACGAAGCACGTGGATTCGCTCACGCGTTTTGGGGTTCACAAGGGGCGACACCAGCTTCCAGATGAGGTTAAACCACGCAGGCGGATTGATGATGAAAACCTGGTAGACTCGCTCTGGGTTGTACGTCGCGATCACCTCCCCCCACTTCTTGGTGTAGTTGACCACATCGCTCGACATATCAGCCATGGAAATGCCCTTGATATCGTAGATTTTCAGCATGTTGCCTTCCGGGAATGGCCGCGGGTCGATCACGTTCCACATGAACTCCATCATTCGGACGTGGTGCATAATGGCTTCATCTTCCGTAACTCCACGCGCTGTAAAGTCATGCAGCGCCTTCCGTTGGCCGCCCAGGAACTCGAAAGAAATGGGATGACCCAGTCGATCCTTCTTGTGCGTAAAGTGGGTGAAGCACTCCTTCATGTCCGTGAACACGTGCGACGGACGCAGCAGAATCGTACCGACGTCGTTCTCTTTCCGCCACTTCATCGTAGCCGCATGTCGCTCCTTTGCTTCCTCCACGTCGCCTTCACAGCCGGCCAGGAATCGAGTATCCACATCAAGTTTCTCGCCATGTTCCTCTTCGTCACCCTCGGATGGTCCTTCGCTTTTGCCGATCGTGACGCTAACACATTCCACTCGTAGCGGTTGAGCCCGAGAGAACCTCCTGGTTGTGAGCAACAAGCTGATGCGCTCGTGGAAGCGAGTAAGGAAAAGCACCAGCGCTGATAGCCAAGCCAAAAGTTCGAACGAGCCGTTGTCCATCGAGTTCATGACAGCAGCCACAGCAGCCAGGAAAGACGTGAGTCCCCAGAAGCGTCTGTTCGTCTCCTCGACACCTTCCAAGCTCCCAACTGCCTTCTCCGTCTTCACCGCAACATGAAGCACATGATCATCACGAGGACCGTTCCCCAATGGCTCCGCCTCGACGACAATAGGGGCGACTCCTTCCTTCTTGTCACGAGTCAGCATCTCACGCGAGAAAAGTGCCGTCCCATTAGCCGATGGACCATTCACGTAGAATCGAAGAATACTTGAAGGGTACATGTCCACTTGGAAGACTTCCCCCACGGCTGGATTGCTCACCACAACCGACTCGGGCAGTGAAGATTCGTGCTGGACACTCACGCAGCTGATGGAATTATCTTCCGGTTGGGGCCCACGCTGAAGCTTGAACAGGGCGTCCTGGAAGAGCTGCATGGCCTTCCGCAGGGTCAAAGCGATCTCCGTACACTGCTCCGGCGTACGCGCTCGTACCCTGAACACTCGTCCATCCGAGCGGATGACCGTGAGAATCCGTGGGAACTGATCGTTCACTTCAATGTGCAGAATATCCGACAGATGAACCGACGAGCGCACCTCTCCCAACGCCATCGCCGACATGGAAGCCGAATCCTCCTCGGGGATGGAGCCGGTGGCCTTGAAGCACAGCATCTCGGCCGTCGTGAGCATGAAAATCCGCCACTTCCACAGCGCCACGTTCGCGCTCATTCGACGACTCGCTAGGGACCGTCCACCCATCGTGAAGGTGCCCAGATACAAAATCTCGTCCATCGTATTGTCCTGCTCCTCCAACAAGCAGCTGTACAGGATACCGGGCATGGCGTGGGCGCTGCTACTCGTCAGACCGCCGCCCAGCGTGTTCAAGCTGAAGCTTCCTCGACTACTCACGTCTGGCGTCCCGATCGCGTCCAACACGCCGTCCACCGACGGGTTTCGGTCCTTCCCAGGGGCCGGAAGTATCAACGGCAGCGCCATCTTCTCTCCAGCCACCGGCGACAACTCTGGGTCGCTCTCTATCTCCGCATAGTTCGGGTTCGAGTTTTGTCTACTTCTCGAGTTCTTGGGACTGCGATATCCAGCTCGACGCTGCACTAATTGTCTCGTGCACAAGTCGCACACACGCACCTCCTTCATGATGCCCAGGTGCGGCAGCGGCACTTGATTCTTGCTGTGTACGCCACACACGGCCTGTCCGCAGTTCCGGCATCGATGCTGCGAGAAAAAGTCCCGTCATTTGCATTCAATAACACCCAAACAGTACTTAATAAAACCCACCCGAAGCCGCAAAAGACGGAGCGGCGCATTGCACACGTGACACTTGGAGTCCGCGCAGTGTGGCCGTCGAGTGACCGCGTGCTGCCAAAGTCCGAGGCCGTGATCGCAGGTGCGTCCTCGCTGTTGGAGATAGGCGCGCTGTTGCTCTTGAAATGCGCCAAGAAGGCGGCTTTGCGGCGCTGGAGCTCCTCGGCCATCGATAAGGACTCCGACTCGCCCGCGCCAGGCGACGCCGGCGACGGAGACGAGGAAGAAGAAGAAGACGGTGCCACGTCGGGCGTGCGATTATCGCGGGAAGTTTCGCGCAGGAAGCGAGGCATTGCGAGGCGTTCGCCAGCCCCCATGCCAGCGATAGCGACAGTCTTCGCGCTTGAGTTTCTACCGTCGAAGTGTGAAGTGATGAGAGCTGGGGCGGAATGTTGTGAAGACAACGTGCGATTGTATCGTCTTTCACAGACCCTTTATATATTTGTTTTAAGTGGTTTTGTTTCAAGTGTACTAAGTATATGTTCACAGACATGATTAATTGAAAAGTTTCTTAAAAGTAATTTAATGTAAATAAAGAGGTTTTCCACCGTACGACTTTTCGTTTACGTGACGACTTGTTCAGCTGAAGCTCGTCAGTGAAGCTTCGGGCATGTCTCATGGTACCTTAGTCGAAAGCACTGGGCTCCCTTTACGAGTTTCTGAAAGATGGAAAGGCTCCATTCGACTGAAAGTCTATTCAGTCTGAATGGACTTTGCTCTCCCGACGATACCGTTCAAGTGCATGCTGTGGCACCACGCAGTCTGTTTGCCTTGCAATCTGGTCGCTGGGTCGCTCGTGAGGTCGTTGTTCATGCCCACCTGGGACTGTCTCCTGGATCTCTAGGATGTCTACTGTACGATGAGAATGGATCTCTCGAGAGTCTCGACTAATTACGAGATAACCTTATAAATATCCGTTCGAATCTGAAAAACACATCAAACCAGGGTTGGATTTTGCCGCGGCTTTATCGCGGCAATTCGGCTAAACTGATTTTTTTACCGATCGGCAATTCGGCTAAATCGGCTAAATCGGCAAAATAATTCGGCTGTATCATCCGGTAAGCTCCAATTGGACCACCACACGCAACCGGTATCCGGGCATTATCCGGACACGAATGGAGCAGCCATTTTGATAGTGGAGCGGGGACAATAATCTGCGCAGGCAGGGGGTTTCCGCGGGGAAGAGCGTCGTTTTGCACACGGATGCTGCTGGTAGTAGTGGTGGACGCTTCGCCGCGGATATACCCTCCGCTCACACCTGTCAAAGCAGCTATCAAACTGCAAGCAGTATGGCGAGGTCTTCAAGCTCGACGTTTGGTCTTAAAGTTGCTGCGTGATCGATACGAAAAGCACTCTGATTTAGAGAAGGAACGTGTGTATCACGTGGAAAAATTGGCAAGCAAAAAGGAGTTGCCACCAAAGCTGTGGGATCCGCCGCCATTACTCTGCAAGCGATACGATCTGAATGACCCAGTCGAGATCCAACGACTGGCCAGGTTCGCTACCATGACGCACGATGAAGCTGCTCCGATCGTTCAGCACGCGTACCGATGTCATTGAGGTCGTGAGCTCATGCGTCGTACTCTGCGTTCGAGTATCAAGAACATCTGGGACGCCACGACCGGGTGTTTCTATATTTACAGCGCCACTACTAAGGAGACGCCCTGAGAGAAGCCCCGACTTCTGCTTAATGAGGCCGACGACGAGCTTGGATCTACGGCTGGCCATCATCAAAATCCAGCCCAGGGACGTCGACGAGTAGCAGTCACGTTGAGACCAGAGAAATTCCACAACGAGGAAGCTGCCACACGCACGATTCAAGCGCTTTACCGACGGATCGCAGCGCGTAAGATGTTTCTCCAGCTAATCACGCGCTGATATCGTAAAATACTGGACCCGGTGTCTGGTCAACCATGCTACTACGACAGTGTTTCGGGCACTGCAACCTGGTTTAAACCTGCAGTGTTTGGTGAATACGATCTTGCACTCGTGGACGACTCGACTGTATCTCCTTCCGGAAGACGACAAAGCACACTTGTATCTCCTCGATTCTCAGCCTTGTACTCTGTAAGGAAGTTACCACGCATCAGTGAGCGTGTTGTCTCAAGCGACATAAACGAAGACTATAGCGTCTACGGCAAATGTCACGCGATGAAGCTGCTACGTGTCTGCAGCGGATGTGGTGAGCCCGTCGCGCCAGAGAAGAACTGCGCGAATTACCGTTCGATGCGTACGAGAAAATCTACGACCCCACCACGGAACACTTCTTCTACTACAACCGCAAGACCGGTCGCAAAGTGGAAAACCCCCGCTCTACTTGTAGGCGACGGTCGAGATATCAAATAGGCAAAAATATACAACAGACGATGCTCACCCACAGCCACGACGCCCTATGAAGCCAAGCACGTCCTATTCACATTCATGCGCTGTGCCGTCGCACGACTTGAACTCCACCGTCTTCTACGTCTTGGCATCAGTGCTGTCGGGCTGCAAAGTGCTCCTGGCCGCCACGGGCACTCCTAAGCAGCGAGGAGGTCTCGCCCTCATCGTTGCTGCGCTAAAAAAGACATTGCTGCCGCAGGCAGTATTGATACATCCGCAGTAAGAAAGCGCCCTCGAACATGAAGTACACCACCGACAGCTCAGCGATGAAGTAGAGCAAGAAGTACGTCAGGATCGTCCGTGTAAGTGGAGCTGCACAAGCATTGTATTAATTGCGCTTAGCTATGCAGACAGTGATGTCACGTAAGGCGTCAATCCAAATGTGCGCTCCGACGGGAAAAGTGTAGTAAGACTAAATTTTTGCCCTCGAATTCCAGTAAGCTTGGTTTCCTGTGGGAAAGTCTTCACATTTGTCTGGGGAAACTCTGTCGTATCAGGCTCTGGAATAGCTTCTTCGAATCCTTCAAATATATTTTGTTCGAGTTCGTCGTCTTCGTCAATACACGTTTCGTCGAGTATGGACTCGTTTCCGTCCAGAACATTCAAGATGTCTTGCCAATACTCGGTCGTGTCTTCGCTGGGAACATCTTGGTGAGCAATTACATGGTTTTCTTCTAGTTCTTCAAGCGTGATAGGAGTACCCATATCACAATTTCCAACGTGCTCTCTCTCAGCGGCAGCGACGATGCGTTTGATCTCGACGATTTCTTTTCCTTCGCTCGCTACTTTATCCAGCTGCCGAATCGTCTGACGAATTAGGGAGAACTTACGTGCCTTCTCGATTGACATTCTGTTTTTCAGGGCTGTGTGAATTGCAGCCAGCTCGCTAAAATATCTCTCGCATGTTGCTGTATTTACTGCGATTGAGAGGATTATTGCCGCGAGCTTAGGCAGCTTCGAGTCGGCTCTTATATCACCAGCAAAGCTCCAATACTGTCCAACATCTCCACTGAACTGAACAATTGAGCTTCTGACAAATACACCACGATACCAGGCGTGCAAATCGGCTGCCAAACCCTCGATATCACTTTCATTGGCGATTCCAGCATATCGTCGATAATAATAGATACCATATCCACATAACCTCTCGAGAAATCTCAAACTCGGTGACTCCTTATGAATCGCCACAGCAACGCGAACATGCAGAGGGTGTAAGAACAAAGCTAACAGCATTAAGGGCTGCTCGCATTGTTGCCATCGCTTCTCTACGAGCGATACTAACTCCAGGTTGTTGAAATCACCCAGAAATCCTTGATAAATATCTCGGTATGAAATGATAACATCTGCCAATGAATTCTCATCACGTTGCAACTTGTAGGAAACATTGGAAAGTGGACGAATTATCGCTTCAGCAGCTCCAAGCTTTCGCCAAAAGGAAGGTTCACCAAATACTTGAAGTGCCTGGGGGAAATCAACGCAGCTGTTGTATTTGGCCCAAAAGTGAAGTAGTCCACTTCTCACACGCAATAAAGAGGCAAAACAACCTTGCATGCTGTTCCACCTTGTCTCGCACAAATTTATGAGCCCAAGTGACTTACCGTAGGTTGCTGTAACCAGCTCTTGCGCCCGAACTAACCACTTGGAAGATGATGCATTCAGTGTCACCGTAGCTAGTGATGCCTGTTTGGTTAGCTCGCGGAAAGACGCGTTTAACACTGCTTTAACCAGGTTATTTATGTCATGAGCAAAACAGTGAACGAACGCGATCCGTGGATGTCTGCGTGCCAAAATACGCCGGGCGCGACCACACTGACCAGCGTTATCGGTTACAACAGCCCCAATTGTCCATCCATTCTTTGTCTCAATTTCACGCATCACCTTCTCCATTTGCTCAGCAATCGCGACCCCGTCGTGTCTTGAGCCAGTTGGAAATAATCCATAGGTCACGATAGTACCGAAAAGGGCAAGCATGCACCCAAGTAAGTGCAACTTAACAACATTCATCCATACATCGGATAAAAAATTCAATCGACCGCCACTAAACGCCAACCGGTTGTTGAGCGCCAAAACTTGAGAGTCTTCTTCAACCTTGCTGTATTTATCCAGAATTTTTCCCATTGCTTTTCGCTTCGGAAGAGCTTTTTCACAGGCCCGGTTGAGAAAAATAAAAAGCCTGCGAGTTGACGGTTTTTCAATGAAACGGTCAGGTAAGCAATTATCTGCCTGAAACTGGATGAGTAATCGCTCAAATTCATCATGATCGTCTTTACAAAAGACTGGATTAAAGTATTGACAAATACACCGACTTCGTTTGGCGGAACTTGTTGAAGAAGCGTCCCCAATCGAGGACCTCGATGCAGATATTGATGAAGCCGAGCTGGAAGGAGGTTTCGCTCCGCTCTGTGCTAAGAAGTGGTGTAGAATTGTTGGCTGAACCAGTGGAGCTGTGACATCACCCGTTCTTGTGCCTCTTTAAAATACTGACAGTCCTTGAGATGGCTAGTATAGTTGGTGTCTCGCCCCGAGATGACTTTGGGCTCCGGTGGTTTCTTCTCTCTCGTCTGGTCGTTATACGCAGCTAAGCAGTGTCTACACACAACCTGAGACCTGCCTCCTTTTTAGGTAGCCCCGTGTCAGCAAACTGCTGTCTCTCGAAGCCTTGCGAACGCCCCATTCTCCCGAGGCAGAGGTGGACGTCTTAACAAGAGGGAGGGAGGTCGGAGGAATCAGACTCTGGTCTCTGATTCAGAGATAGACGGTATTCAAGACTAAATTTGCCCCCTTTCGGTATAATAGTATCCGATTGACGCGTCTATACGGTCGTATACATTTGATAGCTCGGCGATTTTGACCGCAAATCGGACAGGATAATAAAGCCGATTGATTCGGCAAAATCCAACACTGATCAAACGGGAAACACATAACGACATGGTCG